CCGGGGACCAGCGGGGAGAGTAGAGGTCCTCCGCTGCCTACGCCCTCCTTGCGCAGAAGGCTTTCGCGCAGAGAGAGTAGGAGGAGACTAGGCGTCAAAGAGCTTCTTTGCTGGAAGAAGTTTAAGAAACGCCCACTGACGGATTCTGCCAGCGATTGAGACAGCCACGGGTGAGTGGCTGTCCAGACAGAAAAGGTTCACTCAGGCAACCCAGCCAGGTGTTTGCACCGGCTTACGCACGAGCAACCCCTAGAACCACTACAGATGCCTTGGCTAAAACAACATATGGCCTTTGTTAATGCTTCAACTCCAACGGCACAACTGGCTTCTGTGGGTGCAACAGAGCTTCATCTTCCTCTTCCTCTTCCTCTTCCTCTCCTGTCCCATCTAGCAGGTTCAGGAGGCACACAGCAGGGAGGGAGGAAATGGAATTCCTGTTGCACCACTGGAGCTACACATGAGTAGGAGCATTGAATGCAACCCACATTTTCCAACCCAGCCAGTTGCTTCTCGTAACACAAATGAACCACAACCAGGTGCCTTGCCCCAACAGCTGATCTGTTGCCCACTTCCTGGCTGTCCTGCCCTGCTACTTCCAAGCCTCCATCCTCCTCAGCCTACGCCTACTCCTCCCATCGGGGCAGCAACCGGTCCTATTTCTTCCCCTTTACACCCCCACATTACTGGTTATTCAGACTTAAAACTTCCCTGTAGTCAGTACTGCACCAGAATGTATTGCAGTGCATGAAAAGAAGGCACCAGCAAATGGGACAACGCATGCTACATTAGCTGAAATCATTAGAGCTCTGGCAACTTTGAATAGTTCAGGATGAGGCTTTGGCATTCAGGGATGGAACCCTAATACAGTTTGGACTAATGGCCCCTCGCCCTGCGGGATGCTTTAATTGCCAGCAGAGGTTTCACTGATTTATTCTCTCTCTCTTTCCAAAAAAAAGTTTGGTGTGAGAGCATTTGATTTTTTCGCTGAACTGTTTAATGGGCACATGTGCCGTTCCAGTTTTTCAAGGCAGATCTAAGGGAAAGCGAGCCAGGAAGTTCCATGGTATTTTTGATCCAGGAGGCTGAGAGCTGCGAGGCCAAGGAACATATTTTTGTAGATTAGGAGGAGCACTTGAAGTGCTTCGACTCTGCTGCCTTCTCCCTCTTTCGCTGGGAACCAAGTAGAGGAAAAGCTAATGGTTTTGAGATCACCAAGAATTATTGCCCTGCTGACTTTGAACTAAGCCAACTTTTGAATTCCACCTCAGATCCACAAGAATGTATCAGTTTGTGTGCGCACGCACACATGCACTGCGAAAGAGGTTTGTGTTCTCGTAAAACCCAAGCCCGTACACAGGGAAATGGCTGCCAGGATTTCAGTGCATGCCAAGAGAAGAGGGAGGCACAGCCATTGCATTATCGTGAAGGGCTTTTGATAGCTTCAGAGAGCTATGTAAGATGCTGGGGGGGGGGGGCGTAAAGCAAGAAGATGGACGTTAAGCTCTTGCACAGAAAAGAAAAATATATTGCTGTGCTACAACATGTGGGCAAAAACGAATCATTCCAGAAATCCAGGAATTATGGTGAGGCTTCCATAAAAACTTAAATAGGGTATTAAGAGATGATCTAGATTTTATTCTTCGGTGTGTAAACTGATCCCCATCTTGCCTAAAGGAAAACAGCATCCAAGTTATAGTTTTGTTAAATGCTGCCCTCTCCTGGCTTTTCCAAGCTCAGCTGCTTAATCAAATTGGGTCCCTGCCACATGGGAGCGTCTCCCAGCAAGGCACATTCAAGCAGCCACAGAGGCGCATGGCCTTTGAAACAAGAGCTTGGCCTGCTTCTCCACATGACGACGTCGACCCCCTTGTGTGCTGGACAATCTAGCATCACACACAACTGTGTCGTCGCTAGCCATGCATCCTTTTCCTGGGATTATGGAACAACATTTGCAATGCACACGTTATCAGCAGAACAGATAAATAATGTGCACTCCCCTTGCAACAGACTGAGGGCTGCTCACATTCCAAAAACCTGGGCACAGTTCATCTTAACTGTGTTGTTTACAGCATATTCTATTTCTCACCCCACCCCACCCCCAGCTACGAGCTGCTGCAAAAGCAAAGTTTGGAGCAAACAGAAATTGCCCCATAGCGAGAACCCGGTGGCGACTCGACGTTGCACACACGGCTGATCACAGCAGCACTGGCTGCCATCTGCATGGGGAACTTGAGATAATGAAAACCAGAACTGTCTGCTACCATTTTCAGGCAGCCCCGCCTCCATTTTGCCCTGAGATATTCCGGGGACAGAGCCATGTGCAGAACTCTGCTGGAGGCTTCCCTGGGGAACCTGTTTGCAGTATAAATACCTAAGTAAGTATAAATACCTAACTCAAGCTTTGTGAGTCAAAGCTCAGAAGCTGAGAACCACTGCCCCCCCTACAGTGAGTGAGCCAGAGGGGGGCAGGCAATGACCCTTCCATTAACTGCAATCGTGTAACCCAAAAGGATCTAATGGTTTCAATTGTTTTTTTAAAAAAGCATGCTATCTTGAATGTTGACAGATCAGCTTTCACGAATAACAGGAGTTTTTGTCTGCTTACTTGAACTTCTAAATGAGACTTACCTAGATCATAGGCCATGAAATCTGAAGAAAAGCACTTGGCGCCGTGGCTCATGGAAGTGTCATTGTGGGTGTTTCCTCCAAACACCAGCATGGTCCCACTAATGATCACAGCAGAATGCAGGTATCGGGAGAACTTGCTGTCTCTGAGAATTGTCCTGTGGACATATAACAAGAAATGGGATTTCAAAGGCTGCCCACGCCCTAAATGCTCCAAGTGTCTTCTAAAGGAAGAGCGGAGGCAACTATGCCTGAAAACAAGCCACGGGAATAGAGTTCAATTATTTCAGAGGTAGCACAGAAAAGATCCAGGATCCAAGGGATCAAGGCCAAACACAGAGGTTGCAAATCCTTTCAGTGCCATAGCACCTATAAATGTTTTTACCAATGCCTCTGGGCAGACACCCAAGACTCTGAGCTTTCATTTCTGATTTTGGTTGTACCACACACCACATGGCAGTCTTTCTGTGTTAGGCCATGCCCCCCCCTTCAAAACAGTAGCTATTTTATTGCTGGTGCTCTCCAGCACTCTCTCACAATTCAAAATGTCCCCACTGATCCATAAAGGTTGGCAGCCCCAGCTTGCGAAGAAAATTCAAACAGCAACCCCGAAAGGTACGTGGGGAACAAACCACATTTTCAAATACTGATAACAAATGCATAAATGCAACACAATGTAGAGAAACCAAAATCAGGAATAAAAATACAAGCAATAAAATAAGTAAAATCGCCATCACATGGAGCCAGCATACAGCCCCCCACTGACCCACTGCTTGCCCTTGCTAATAAAAGCTGCTCTTTTTTGCCATAGGGAGAGAAAGGAGAAAGCATCTGCGAGCTCATCAACCATGTGCTTCCTTCAGAGCTCTTCTCTTGAATAGGAAAGAGAATGTGTTGGTCCAAGACTCCCAGCATTAATAAGTTATAGAAAACCTTGGGTGGGAGGGGAGGCATGGAATGACAGAGTGAGAAACTTGCCCTGTACTGTTGGCTTTCTGGCCAAATCTACTTCCAAGTGTAGAATTTGCACAGAGACTGGTGTCAGAGCAAATTAGACATCATGATGGCAGATCCACTTGTCATAATCAGATACTAACCAAGTCCCTGTGTGGGTAAGGTGGGGGCTGCTAAACAGTTCCCCCCCCTCATGATTTCCCCACTGAAACGGCATCCCTACAGTTTTTCCCTCCAGCTAGGGCTCTGAAAATAAGAGCAGCTCCCATCAGGAGTAGGTCAGCTGGGGAGAATGTTTTGGGGAAAGTGGGCAGACAAGCTGGGGCAGAATTCAGCCTTCTCTCACTCCCATCTCCTTAAGGAATCTGCTTTTCAAGGGTCTGCGCCTAGTTGGACCCTGAGATGCTATTTTACCTTTTTCCTACAAATGAGCAGGGAGCGGGCATCTGTCTAAATAAAAATATGCCTATGTCCCTTGGTGTTGCCAATTTAACTGCACAACCCTTGCATAATTTAAAGAGAACCTATCGACTCACTTAAACGTGGTCTGCTAGTTAAAACAAAGACTATAAAATATGCATTTCCCATAGTCCTCCCTTTGCCTTCAGCCAAATATCTTAATTAACTCAATCAATCTCCAAAGCCCTTCCTAGCCACTGTGTGCGGTGGTCCTCCAAGTATGTGACATTTATTCAAGATATGGTTGACATATTCATCACCATTTCCACGTAGGAAGCTGCCATGTACAGAGTCAAAGCATGGGTCCGTCTAGCTCAGGACTGTTTACACTGACTGTTTACAGCAGGGGTCGGCAAACTAAGGTCCGTGGGCTGGATCAGGCCCAATTGCCTTCAGGATCCGGCCCGCGGACTTTCTGTGGATCGGCGTGGGGATTCTGTTCATTCAGGCTGCCCCATTTCCCCCCCTGCGCCATTCCATTTGCCCCCCCCACACACACACACACACCGCAGCTGCGCCTCCTCCCTCCCTCCCTCCTGCCTTCTCTAGGCAGGGGCCTAGAGGAGGAAGGGGGCTGGGCTGAGCTGGATGAGCGCCATTTTAAGCAGCCCCTCTCCGGAGCCAGCCTTTTCGCGCCACTCATCTTCCCTCCACCATTGCTGCCCCCGCCCTGGTACTCCTGTGGGCCAGAGAGGAGAGTGGACAAGCTCGCTCTGCCTACCCACGAGAAGCAGTGGCGGCAGCGGTGGTGGTGGTGGCAGCCACTGGGAAGGTAAGCGCAGTGGCTGGGGCTGAGGGTGGGGAGGAGGACTATTTGCCCCCCCCCTTGCCTTTTCCTCCAGCTCCTACCCCCGGTGCTGTTTCTCTGGCCCACCACAAGGTCTGAGGGACAGTGGATCGGTCCACAGCTAAAAAAAATTGCCGACCCCTGGTTTACAGGCTTGCAGACAGGGAATCTCTATCAGCTCTACCAGGGATTGAACCTGGGAGCGTCTGCATGCAAGGCAAGATGCTCTACCACTGAGCTATGGCCCTCTCCACGTGGTCTCACGGGGGGTAGAGCAAGGGCTCTTTCAAACATCCAAAGAGACTGCTAAATGGTCAAAATGGATTCAGGTTTTTTGCTGAGAGCCAGTGTGGTGTAGTGGTTAAAAACAGTAGACTCATAATCTGGTGAACCGGGTTCGCTTCCCTGCTCCTCCACATGCAGCTGCTGGGTGATCTTGGGCTAGTCACACTTCTCTGAAGTCTCTCAGCCCCACTCACCTCACAGAGTGTTTGTTGTGGGGGAGGAAGGGAAAGGAGAATGTTAGCCGCTTTGAGACTCCTTTGGGTAGTGATAAAGCGGAATATCAAATCCAAACTATTATTATTATTATTATTATTATTATTTCAGCAGAGGTAGGCAACACGGTGTCCTCCAGGTTCTTTGCAACTACCATTCCCATCAGCACCAGATGCAATGGCCAGTGGACAGAAATGATGGGAATTGTAGCTTTGGAGGGCAACCTGTTGGCTGACCCTGTATTACAGAAACGTTTCCCCAACATTTAAAATTTTTAAGACCAACTTACAGTAGATTCCAGCATTAACTAGAGTGTCGAGACTTGTTAGGTGGCCGCAGAAGGCTGCAAATTTCAAAGTGAAAATAGATTTAAAATATACCTACCACCTGCCCTTATTGACTTCATACTGGTATAAATCATCTGTTAGTCTGTATTTGTTGGCACTGAACGCCTTGTAACCTCCGTGAGCGTAGATGGACTTGGTGTTTGGATCATACACGCTGCTGTGGCCATAGCCTCCTTGAACTAAGGCTCCCGTTGTTTGCAAAATATTCCATGTATTTGTGGCTGAGAGAGAATGAAAGGCAGATATGAATGTGCCCTGCTTAATCGGCAGGTGTCATATGTTCCAGCTCAATCGCTACTAACAGCAGGGATCATCCTCTTTACAGAAATCCTCCCTATTATCAAATAAGAGAGCCCCTCCGGTTCACAGCTACTTTCAGCAGACATTCACTGGCTGTGGAATCCTTCAGGGTCTGGGCATGGATGTTTCCCAGAAACAAATAAGAAAAGCAATTCAAGCTGGCTTACATACTGGCAAGCTGAAACTGAACTTTAATTTATACATTACAAAGATATATGCTGCGTACATAATTTAAAATTGCTACCTAACCCAACGCCAGGGGATATGAATTGTCAGGAATTTGATTTAAAAATGAGAGCAGGACCACTACCCCATCACAAGCGACAAATACCCAACTCAGAAGGATTTACAATCTACATCAGATCAAGAAGTCTGAGATTGCCCAGGGGGTGGCTGGCGGGTGGGGAGAAGGGGACAGAACTTGAAAAGGCACATGAGCATCGAGGATCTGGGAAGGAAGAGGCAAGTGATGGAGGAAATGAACACAAGGTAAGGCCGCAACAGAAACCGTGAAAATTTGTGGGTATTTGAAAAAGACAAAATAGTGTTACCTAGTCCTCTGCAGGAGGGGATGACAACAAACACATACAGAATGATGACCAAGCAAATGCAATACGATAAAAAAATAAACAGGGCAAACATGGAGCATTGAATGGAGCTTCCCCTTTCTTCCCACTGCAGCCCCCTTGTTCTACTCCCACCCCACCCCCAAAAAATCTGCTCTAGAGAGCTCCCCATGGAGATGTTGGGGGGCAAGCAGAAGTCACAGGGGAAATGGAAACGAAGGGAACACCCCATGGCACAAGTAAAATGCTTTTCTGCTCACGCACAGATGTCATTTGATACAACCCAGTGTTGAAACTGACGGTATAATTAGAATTATTAAAAGGGGACAGGTGGAAGAAGGAAATTTGTCCATTAGTCTTATGTAAGATGTTTCTCTTTAGTTCTTTATGAATGATAAGTTAAGAGTCACTGTCAAAGCAATACCTACCCAGATTGTATTCCTGCACGTTGCTGATGTATCCATAAAGAGGGCAGTGCCCAAAGATGACCAGCATCACAACAGAGCCGTCATCCCGTGTGACAATGTGGGCTGAGTGGCCAACAACAGCGTATTGCTCCTTGGTCTTTGGGGTCACGTGAACCCATGACTGGTTTGCAATATGGAACACCCAGAGCTCACTGGTCACGTTTCCAGATTCATCTATCTTGCCTCCATACATGTAGATTTTATTCTGGGGGGGTAAAGGTTTATTTCACATTAGAATTCATTGCTAAACAAAAAATGACCCAGCAAGAAAACAAACTCATAAGCACGTCAAACAGCACTCCTAGGAAAGAAAGAATATTCTAATACAATCATTTCCGCCATTCACCAGCACACGTGAAAAGCTACCAACAATCTAATAAATGACCCAGTATCCACCCAGCTTTAGCCTCACACCCACCTTTCACCAGTTAGCATTTAACAGAAAATGTTCCAAACTGTGAAGAAATGAAATAATTTCAGACATTCTTCTGCATATTACAATTTCACCTAATGGCATGGAAAACAATCCCGTTCCTCCCATATTCTGTCCCTAAGTGTGGAAGTCTCAAATGCCAGGGTGGTGGGGGGTGAAGGGGATGTGTAGAAAGCAGACAAGAGAAAACAAAATCATATGGGGGAATAACATCCCTCCCTAGCCCCAATGGGCTAACAACTGAGGCACCGCAAATCACATGGCAAGCTTACCCCGCTCTATGACAGACCCAGGGAATCTGTTCCTCAACCCCACAGCTTTAGCATACAAGGCCACTATGCAAGATCAGGAGGCCTGGAGGGAGGTGTCATTCAAATGCGGGCGACACTCAGCTCAGTTCTCGTGTCCTCTGAGTTAGGTGAGGCTGTGCAAGAGCTGAACTGGTGCCTGGATTCAGAAATGGGCTGGATGCAGGCCAAGAAACTGAGGCTCAGTTATGACAAGGCAGGCACGGCAGATAAGTAGCTCCGGTGTCCAAGAATTAGCTGCACAATCTGTTCTATATGAGATTGCACTCCCCCTGGTATGCCGTCTGGGGGCAACTCCTGGCTCCAGCATTGTCACAGGCCTTAGAAGCACAGAGTGCTGCCCATTACTTTCAGCTGTTTTGCCAGCTGTGACTGTTCCTGGACAGCAATCGTCTTGCCACCGTGACCCGTTGTCTGGTAACCTCCCAACTGGATCACTGCAATGCGTTCTACATGGGGTTGCCCTCCAAGACAACGCAGACGCTTCCAATTCATACAGGATGTGGCTGCCAGAATTTTAATTGGCACGGCCAGATGGACTCACATTACACTGACTCTAAAGGACTTACACGGCGGCCGGATCGCTTCCAAGGCAATTTGTCTTTAAAACCCTCCAATACCTGAAGGGCTGGCCATATCCTAAGATCTTCAGATGAGCTTCTGTGCACCTCTGCCAGGTAAGATTTGTTGTATATCAACAAGGAAGAGAGAGCCCTTTAGAATGCCCTCCCTACAAGCACATAGCTGCACAAGCATTCTAATCATTTCAGCACGAGGTAAAAACTTATTTGCACAGGTGTTTCACAGGTGCTTAGTCTAGTTGGCCGTGTTTTGTTTTTAGCTGCCTTTTAAGTATCGTATGATGAATACTCAATTTTTTGGCACGTTTAGTTTTGTTTATGCTTAATGTGCATCACCCTGATATCCTTAAGGAGCGGGGACAGTGTGAAGATTAATAATCACTGTTTGTTTAAGTCCTTCTCTCAATTTCCAGTCCAAGCTCAGTAACTGCAGCATCATCCTTCCACCGAAGGATCACCCCCATTTTTATATAGAGTGCCACATGAATTGCCTTCCATGCCAAGCTGTCTTAAACTGGGCTCCTAAGGAAATTCTTCCATTCTGTGACTGGCTCCCCTTGCACTTCTTGAAGCAGAATTAAATCTGAGGCTCGTTTTCCTTCTTTTGTTAAATATACTGCATTCATCCCATTTCGTAATGGAATTAATCCATGAATTGTCATGGATAGAGCACTGGATTTGGGGTGGAGATACCTGGATTCAAATCACTGCTTCACTACGAAACCCACAAGAACTTAAGAGCAAGGGGTTCTGCATCAGACCAAAGGGGCATCTAGTCCAGCATCTCGCTTCTCACCTTGGTCGCCATCCAGGTGCCCTTGTGCCCTGCATCAGAGGATACAGCCTCCTCTCATGGTTGCTCCCCATAAAAGCTTACACACTGGTGCAACGCCTCTGAACATGGGGGCTGAATGTAGACAACAGAACTCATGCCCATTCATAGGCCTCTCCTCCATGTGGATTTTTAAAATACCCTATTAGAACCATCCACGCTAGTGGCAGTTATCACATATTGTGGCAGGAAGTCACTTTCGTGGCATTGCTCAAGCATCTCCTCCTCAGCCTAACCTGAATAGAGGAAGGAGCAGCTGCATCATCTGGCTGGAGGAAAGGTAGGATGCAAATGCAATAAATAAAGACACCATATCAAAGCTCTTTAGTCTGCTCTCATCTCGCTGTTTCTTAAAGGTAAAGGGACCCCTGAGCATTAGGTCCAGTCGTGGCCGACTCTGGGGTTGTGGCGCTCATCTCGCTTTATTGGCCGAGGGAGCCGGCGTACAGCTTCCGGGTCATGTGGCCAGCAGGACTAAGCCACTTCTGGCGAACCAGAGCAACACACGGAAATGCCGTTTACCTTCCCACCAGAGTGGTACCTATTTATCTACTTGCACTAGCATGCTTTCGAACTGCTAGGTTGGCAGGAGCAGAGACCGAGCAACGGGAGCTCACCCCGTCGCGGGGATTCGAATGGCCGACCTTCTGATTGGCAAGCCCTAGGCTCTCTGGTTTAACCCATGGCGCCACCCGTGTCCCTTCACTGTTTCTTAAGAGTCACCAAAGAGCTGCTTCAGCATACTTGATCCCCAGAGAACAGACTACGCCCAAAGATGAGCCCTTCGCTGATCTGCGTCATGTCCCACCAACACTATCAAGAGAACGTACAACTTGGGCGGTTGCCAAAACAGACGTGGAATACTGAATGCTTCTCCTCCATGTTTCTACTGGGAGAAGAGTTCGCCCAAAGCA